TGACTATTTCTATCTATCTGACTGACTATCTATCTATCTATCTATCTCTCGCTATCTGTCTATCTATCTATCTCTCTATTTATCTCTCTGACTATCTATCTATCTCTCTAATTATCTATCTGACTGACTTTCTATTTATCTGACTATTTCTATCTATCTATCTATCTATCTGACTGACTATATCTATCTATCTATCTGACTGACTATCTATCTATCTCTCTATCTATCTGACTATCTCTCTCTCTATCTATCCGACTATCTCTCTCTCTCTCTCTCTCTCCATCTATCTATCTATCTATCTATCTGACTTATCTCTCTATCTATCTGACTGACTATCTTTCTATCTATCTCTCTATCTATCTGACTGACTATCTATCTCTCTATCTATCTATCTCTCTCTCTATCTATCCGACTATCTCTCTCTCTCTGTATCTATCTATCCGACTATCTCTCTCTCTCTCTCTCTCTCTCTCTCTCTCTCTCTCTCCCCATCTATCTATCTATCTGACTTATCTCTCTATCTATCTGACTAACTATCTTTCTATCTATCTGACTGACTGACTGACTGACTGACTATCTATTTATCTGTCTATCTATCTATCTGTCTGTCTGTCTATCTATCCGACTATCTCTCTCTTTCTATCTATCTATCTGACTGACTATCTATCTATCTATCTGTCTCTATCTGACTATCTATCTCTCTCTCTCTCTATCTATCTCTCTATCTGACTATCTCTCTCTCTATCTGACTATCTCTCTATCTCTCTCTCTCTATCTATCTGACTATCTATCTATCTCTCTCTCTCTCTATCTGACTATCTATCTCTCTATCTCTCTCTCTCTCTCTATCTGACTATCTCTCTATCTCTCTCTCTCTTCTATCTATCTGACTTCTCTATTTATCTGACTATTTCTATCTATCTCTCGCTCTCTATCTGACTATCTATCTATCTATCTCTCTCTCTCTCTATCTATCTATCTCTCTATCTGACTATCTCTCTATCTCTCTGACTATCTCTCTATCTCTCTATCTGACTATCTATCTCTCTCTCTCTCTCTCTCTCTCTCTATCTGACTATCTATCTAATCATTTTATCTATTTTTCCTTTTAGTTTCCTACAGCCATTAGGACCTTTTCATTTTACTTTTACCTTATTTTAGTTTATTTGACCATCATCATCTTCCCTCTTTGTATAGGATTACAGTAGTTTTAGCAACTGATGTTTCCTTAATGAGTTATACAGGTTATTAGTAGCCTAATCTCTCTCTATCTGACTATCTATCTTTCTATCTGACTTATCTATCTCTCTATTTATCTCTCTGACTATCTATCTATCTCTCTCTCTCTCTCTCTCTCTCTCTCTCTCTCTCTCTCTCTCTCTCTCTCTCTCTCTCTCTCTCTCTCTCTCTCTCTCTCTCTCTCTCTCTCTCTCTCTCTCTCTCTCTCTCTCTCTCTCTCTCTCTCTCTCTCTCTCTCTCTCTCTCTCTCTCTCTCTCTCTCTCTCTCTCTCTCTCTCTCTCTCTCTCTCTCTCTCTCTCTCTCTCTCTCTCTCTCTCTCTCTCTCTCTCTCTCTCTCTCTCTCTCTCTCTCTCTCTCTCTCTCTCTCTCTCTCTCTCTCTCTCTCTCTCTCTCTCTCTCTCTCTCTCTCTCTCTCTCTCTCTCTCTCTCTCTCTCTCTCTCTCTCTCTCTCTCTCTCTCTCTCTCTCTCTCTCTCTCTCTCTCTCTCTCTCTCTCTGACTATCTATCTTTCTATCTGACTTATCTATTTATCTGACTATTTCTATCTCTCTCTCTCTATCTGACTATCTATCTATCTCTCTATTTATCTATCTGACTATCTATCTATCTATCTATCTCTCTAATTATCTATCTGACTGACTATCTTTCTATCTATCTGACTTATCTATTTATCTGACTATTTCTATCTATCTATCTGACTGACTATCTATCTATCTATCTCTCTATCTATCTGACTGACTATCTATCTATCTCTCTCTCTCTCTCTGTATCTATCTATCCGACTATCTCTCTCTCTCTCTCTCTCTCCATCTATCTATCTATCTATCTGACTTATCTCTCTATCTATCTGACTGACTATCTTTCTATCTATCTGACTGACTGACTGACTGACTATCTATTTATCTGTCTATCTATCTATCTATCTATCTGTCTGTCTGTATGTCTGTCTATCTATCCGACTATCTCTCTCTTTCTATCTATCTATCTATCTGTCTATTTGACTGACTGACTGACTGACTGACTATCTATCTCTCTATCTATCTATCTGACTATCTATCTGACTGACTATCTATTTATCTGTCTATCTGTCTGTCTATCTATCTATCTATCTGTCCGTCTGTCTGTCTATCTATCCGACTATCTCTCTCTTTCTATCTATCTATCTATCTATCTGTCTGTCTGTCTGTCTGTCTATCTATCCGACTATCTCTCTCTTTCTATCTATCTATCTATCTATCTATCTGACTATCTATCTATCTGACTGACTGACTATCTATCTGACTATCTCTCTATCTATCTGACTGACTGACTATCTATCTGACTATCTCTCTCTATATCTATCTATCTGACTAGACTGACTATCTATCTATCTATCTATCTATCTATCTATCTGACTGACTATCTATCTATCTGACTGACTATCCGACTATCTCTCTCTTTCTATCTATCTATCTATCTATCTATCTGACTATCTATCTATCTGACTGACTGACTATCTATCTGACTATCTCTCTATCTATCTGACTGACTGACTATCTATCTGACTATCTCTCTCTATATCTATCTATCTGACTATCTCTCTCTCTCTCTCATCTATCTATCTGACTATCTTTCTATCTATCTGACTATCTATCTATCTATCTGACTGACTATCTTTCTATCTATCTGACTGACTATCTATCTATCTATCTGTCTATCCGACTATCTATCTATCTATCTATCCGACTATCTCTCTCTATCTATCTATCTATCCGACTATCTCTCTCCATCTATCTATCCGACTATCTCTCTCCATCTATCTATCTATCTATCTATCCGACTATCTCTCTCTATGTATCTATCTATATATCCGACTATCTCTCGCTCTCTCTATCTATCTATCTATCTGACTGACTGACTATCTTTCTATCTATCTGTCTGACTATCTATCTATTTGACTGACTATCTATCTATCTATCTATCTGACTGACTATCTATCTATCTGACTATCTATCTATCTATCTATCTGACTATCATCTATCTATCTATCTATCTATCTGACTATCATCTATCATCTCTATCATCTATCTGACTATCATCTATCTATCTATCTATCTATCTATCTGTGCAATGGTGGTGTTAAAAGGTAAAAGTTCATATAAAAGGTTAGAATCTATAAGCCAAGAAAGTTGTACATTTAGATTTGAATTCTGCCTTTATTTTTGACATTGTTAATAAAAGCATGAAAATAAATTAATGTATGTTTTAACACAAACGTAAGATATCTTATTATGACATAGGTTTTTAAAAAAAGAGATATGAATAGAAATTATTGCACGTTTGAATTAAATATTTTATATAAACAATTACATGTCAATAGAACTACTTAAGAAATTACAGTACATTTCAAACCTGGGAAACTTTTTTTTTTTAAGCGAATTGCCACATATTAACATTTTCAGGCCAAAATAATAGATGCATTATATACAAAACCAAGAATAGATCAATATTAACTATATTATAGTAGACAGTATAGGATAGTCACTGGTGATGGGTTGGGTACTGTGCGCTTTACCACGGTTTACTCTGATCATTAGCTCTTGTGTAGTTTAGTAATAGCAGCATGTGTCTGGACAGGCCATGTTTCTGATTACCCAGCAGGCATTGGGGTTCATGCGATCATGCAGAAATATGACGAACTCAGAATGAGTCAATCGAGCAGCCGAGTTTCAATAAAAGCTACTGTATGAATATACTATCAAATGATTCCTCATGATTCAGTAGCCTGATAGCACACATACATCACAGAGACGTCTATTTGACATCTGCAAGACGTATTTTTTAGAGTGTTTGCTCATCAGATGTCAAATAGACGTATATTAGATGTCTTTAAGATGCTTATGATTTAGAATGCATGTAAAACTGACATCTTACAGACGTCTGTACACAGCAGATGCTTTCCATATCAAGTCCCAGAGAGATGTCTGTTCAAAGACCTCTTGATCTGGAAAGCATCTGGATAAAAAAAAAAAGTTTATCCTACTCATTTGTTACTTATGCACATTTTTAGAATTTGAACTTAATTTTTAAATCGAATTGAATTTTAGAATTTATGTGCATTTACGCACAACCATCCAGCGTTTTTTTATGCAATATTCCAAAATGCGCATAAAAAATAGGTGTAAACCAGGATGCAGGACAGACAATCAATGTATTTAACTGCAAGTTATTAATCTGAGCTCCACTGGTTGGTGTGTATTTACATCATGTGGGGTGTGTCGCGCGCGCGCAGAAACACACACATATAAAAACAACAAGTTGTTTGCTCACGAACCACACACACACACACACACACACACACACACACACACA